TGTGTGTGTGTGTGTGTGTGTGTGTGTGTGTGTGTGTGTGTGTGTGTGTGTTTGTGTGTGTTTGTGTGTATGCGAGCGCGCGCGCGCGCGTGTGTGTGTAAGTTTGTGGTTATGTATCCATAATAATATAATGTATCTGTGGATTTGTTATGTGAGTATGTGCGTGTGGGTTTGTTTACATGCATATTATGGGTATGTGTGTGCAACTTTTCAGGTAAGAAGATTAGTGTATTTTTGTGTATGTCGGTGTGTACAAAAAAAAAGGGTGTAGGCGAAAAGATGTGAACAGAGCTATAAAGGCGGGGTCAGTGGTCTAGTGGTATGGGCTATATTTATACTATGTCTCATAATCGTGAGTTTGCAGGTTCAGCGAGGGGTTGAGGATCAGCTGGGTCCGACTTGCTTTTTTGGTCAGGCAGTTTGCGCGATTATTTTTTCTTTTGGCTGGGTCCTGTCGGAGATGGACGTTTCATTGGGAGACCCCGCCTTTTAGATAACACCCCAGTGTTTCAAGGGAATTATACCTATGCAATGTCGTACATTTTTATTTAGCAGGGCTATGAATAAATAAGAACATTTTTATGTCCTCATCAACATATTATGTCGATCTTTTCGAGCCGAGCTGCTTCGGCCTCACCTGTCAAGACCAGCATCTGTTGTGTAGCGGGTAGGTCCTTCGCCGTTGCACTCAGGAAACCCGAGTTCGATTCCCGAGTGGGGAGAATCTTTTTTTATCGAGAACCCCGGTCTTTCTGCTGGGATGTTAACCTCTCAGCCCGGGTCGGCCCAGCCAGATGTTTTTACATCATCATCGACGTAATTAAGATCATTTAGGATACAAACTTGGACGGACCTTGTACGTTAGGGCCAACCCGGACTGAGAGGAAAACAACATCACGGCAGAAAAGACGGGAGATGCTGGATACAAATTCTCCCCATACGGGAATCGAACTCAGGTCTTCTGCATGCGAAGGCCAAGGATCTAACCTCTACACTACAGACGCTGGTACAAACAAATGAATTTCATACAGGCATGCAATTGGGTCGTTGGCGGGTGCCTTGGTGTGATTTGCTCCTTCTTTCCTATCAAACATCTATTGTTCTTATCTGTTCTCATTTTCTTTTTATTTTAGCCTCTGATAACAATATGTATCTCTAATCTGCAGCATCTATATGACCTAGTTGTGTTGAAAGTACCCCCCCCCCCCAAAAAAGTCTCACTAAAATACAAACAA